GCACTTTGTTAGAGAAAGAATTGTCTCGGGTGAACTCTGTGTGCCTTATACTCCATCTGAGATGCAAATTGCAGATGTATTGACTAAAGGGTTGGCTGCAGCAAAGTTCATGGACCTTCTTGGCAAGCTAAACATGATTGACATCCATGCTTAGCTTGAGGGGGAGTGTTAGGTTGAAGGTTTTGTATGTATGGATGATTCGGCTGATAAGAGTTCTTATTAGCCTGTATTTGAGTTTAAGTTGTTATGTATTGGGCCTGTGTTAATGGGCCTCAGCATCTCTTCTTCTTCTCCTCTTTTCTGCTACTTCGGATACAGTAGTTTAGCTTTCATTAACCATGCTATTAAATTAGAATCCAAGACCTAAAAACCCATGAGGATCCTTAATCAACACATGAAATACAACTTCCTGCCAGATCATAGCAGTCACAACAATGCTAGTTCATGTTTATTTTTTATGGTTGCTAAAATCCCTTGTAACATCTCAGATTAGATCCCAGCACAGATTATAAGCACAATTCATAAGTTAAAGGAGTCTATTATAGAGAGAACAACAGATGAACAAATCTGTTTGGAAAGAAAAAACAATGAACTTACTATTTCATGAGAAAGCACTTAGCACATTATGTATTAAGGGCAATGCTAGTGTAATGAGCATGAGTGCCATGAAGGCCTTAAATCACAAAAAAAGGACAGGAAGTATAACCTTGTGTATTTGCACAAAGAACCCTGTTTACATTTTGTCAATTTATGGTTTAAAGGTCTCACACATGTTCTATTTAAATGAGTTAAAACAGCACTTCCCGTCTTCCCCTTAAAAAAGGATTTGACATGGTATGTCCTGTTTCAAAAAAAAATGCATGTTTTTTTTTATGAATGAGAAAAAAAAATGCATGTTCAAGATCAAGAAATAAACAAACTGACATGACAATAGTTTTAAAGCCAACTGATGGTTAAACATGATAGTTTACACTAATTTGTTATTGCAACAAGAAGTTTATACATTCATAAATATGCATATAATTGATAATACATAGTTCAAAAGGTTACAACATGCGACACCAACAAAAACAAACAAACTAAAGAAAAATCTAACCAAATCCTCCTCAATCATTTATTTCAAATAAATAAATGAACCTACCAAAGGAGGAGCACATGCAAAACAAGCTGCTTCCCCAGGAATAAGTAATTGTATATGGCCTGAAACAGCATCTTCGGAGACACCTGCCAAGATTTTTTTTATGTGAAAATTGAAATGTCCTAGCTATTAAACCAAAACTAAAGAGCTGATGCACATCAATCATCATATATATAGCAAAAAAAATCAGCATATATAGAAAAAGATGATAAGCAACATTTCATTTATTGTCCTGGATGCTTAAACATGTAGACAATTCTTGGACATAATGCACAGAATCACATATGAGAAACATATCTGCTATTAGTATTTCTGAAATGGATAAGGTGGAAAAGAGTATAAATAAGAAGCTACAGATTTTCTTTTCTGTTTAAAACTTTCCTTAAGGTATCAGGTCTTGCAGGAAAATGTATGAAAGGTAAGCAAATGACACAGCCATTGAAAAGAAAAAAGGATGCAGTTGTTATTCTGATGATTAGCTGCTCAAGAAGATGATGGCATAATTATATAATTTATTTCAGAGGATTATACCTCTTAGCTTATTGGAAAAAAGGTTTGGAAAACTGATCACAAAAATAATATTTATATAAATATGGGTCTAGAAACTATGTAAAAGAGCAACATTTAGCATCTTTCTACATCCCCTCAAATTTCTGATGGAAGGAAAATTGCAAATCTAAAGTAAATCCATCTCTTTTACAAGAAGCCACTCCAATTCGTCATTATCCATGTAAACAAGAAGCATAGATATTATATACATATAAAAATGAACCAACATAGTGGGCTTGGTTATCTGCAAGGGTGAAGTGTCTTGCCAAGTGAAGGGCCTATTTGACCAATCTACGATTCTGGAGCATTGACCCAATAAAGTCCCACTTGGAATGGAGCTAAAGTGGACTGACAATCTTCTGATGGAAAATTCAGATGACTTAAACATGTACAATATGATGAAACTGCAAATAAAGGTTAAATTCATCCAATATAAATCTAAACAGGTTTCAGGAAAAAAAATCATGAAAAGACAATCTGGAATTTGTTTGCTTACCAGACTCCATCCATGTCTGACTCAGCTCATTGCAAGCCTGAATGACCACAACTGCATCAGATATAAATTGAAAAATACTTAACAAATCCTAAAAAAAAAAAAAAAAAAGTAACCTCCTAGGACAAAACTTTTAAGTAATAACCATGAGGCATTCACAAATTTGATATTGATTTCTTTTGAGTGGTGATGCTATCCTCCTTTGGTTAACTATCCCCCTTATGCTAAAACCATCAGGTTGGTGTTTTAACCTCCTAGGACAAAAGAATATGAAAGGATATAATGAGGCTCTACTACGAAGATTTTACCCCTATGAAGAGTGACAGAAGATCACAATATGGAGATATCTGCACGGGGACTAGAATCCTAAATGTGCAACCTCAATGTATTGTGTCAATCCCCTAATTGAAAATTTTGAACCTGACAGATGTAGTACCCAAAGATAATACCACCAAGACTCTTCTTTCTCCAAAAAAATATGAAATGGAATTTTAACATTGCTACCAAGTAGGACTGATTCTTAACTAGGTTAAAAGTGGAAAAGTAAAAAAACTCTTGTCCTGTTTGAGAAGTTGATTTACCTGGTTTACAACCATCCTCGCTTCATAATTATCAACACAGCTCAAGACAAGATCTACACCACTATTGTGTGTACTTGGACGGAAACTTTTGTTTCTCAAGCTCTCCATGAAAGTTTCAAAACCTTTCACTGTTGTAATATTCAAGGTGTAGCTCTGAAAACAAATTGAAACAATCATAATGAGGAAAATACATACATAAAGTGGTAAATAAGAGGAAACTAAGCTGAAAGATATTCTGATTCACGACAAGGATGGTAGAAAATATCCAATTTTGTTAAAAAGAACAAGATTTAAGGTACTCAAAAGCCATAAGTAATGAGTTCAGATCTGCTGACCACAACACATTGCTGGCCACACATTGGGAACATCGGTTGTACTTTACATTGCTGATATTCCCAATGTGTGGCTGGATGAACATGGCCAGCAATGTGTTGTGGTCAGCAGATTCGGACTCTAAGTAATCACCCTGTAATGTAGACCAATAATATTTTTTACTTTGCTTGCTGAAAGTTCAAACTTTGAAGCAAGGATTAAAATTTTGTCACGTATTGGGGCGTATTGGCCAATATGTATTGTACCGGTGACACTCCGGTACACCCCTGCACTAAGTGTTTCGGGGTATAACCTATTTCAGGGGGTAGACAGGCCTTAAACCAACTCCCTTGAACTGGTTTGGGAAAAAAAAAAAAAAAAGCGGCTAAAGATACAAGCCGATGCACCCCATCCGGTGTATCGGCCTGTATTAATATTTTGAATCTTGCTTTGAATGGTTAAAAAATGAAACTTCTCAAAGTAGACATGGATGGAAGGAGATGATATTCAAAGTTATTTTTTATTTATATAGCTCTCAGCCCAAATTTTGAAGGGAACGAAACTGTCTCAAGTCCATCACTTAACTTGTGAGTTGTGAGTCTTGTGACCTAAAACAAAGTAGTCAAAACTTGAATGCCTAGCTTTATCATGGTTTTATTGGTGGATAATTCAACATCTTATATAGCGAGACTAGAATTGTGCAATTCAGACATCGATTGAGAGAGTTATAACCAATGTATGGACAGATTGCTTCTCTATGATGGAAAACTCCATCTTTATATATTGATATTTTTTAATTAAAGTTTCATTATTTTTAGAATTTATTTTGGTAGATGTCAGTTTTAGAAGTTATTTTCTTTTCAAATCTGTGCCATACTTGTAATAAGTTAAAATTTTCTATTTTTAGAAGGTTATTAGCAGTTTTATGGCTCTGAGTCCTTGGATTAGGGAGATGAGTTTACATAAGGCCCATAATATTGTTGAGCATTAAAACTCAAAAATTCATTAAACTTCTTGTTTGAATCCATTAAGTGTATTAATGATTTATAATAGTATTAAACAACGCATAACCATTCATCAATCCTTCAATTATCTAAAACAAAGGACAAATTCACAAAAAAAAAAGACACTAATGTAGTCAATCCATCTTAAAGAAAGAGAAAATGGTTCCTCATCAAACACTTACCTCGAGAACTACATCAGGATTGATATCTGAAAGGGTCTGAACTGCAGCATCAGTCTTGGTCATACCAACCTGAAAAAGAGGGGAAAAAGACAAGCTTCATGAGAGACTTAACTCAAATGGAACCTTACAATCTCAACATTCTTTCACCACAAGAACAGAACAGAATTCTTCAGCATCATATCAAATTCATGATTCCAAAAAGAATTGTTATTTACTGTTGGTATACCACCAGATACTGCAAAAAGGGGTTCATTTCAGATAAGAGTTATTGCTGGCTAATTATTTATGCATGTTGCATCAAACGGAAAAAAAAAATAATAATGAAAAGCAAGCATAATGATGAAGAAGCATGCCTGTTCTGGACGAAAGAATAGCCTATTCATGTTGGCTAACTCCACTGTATCATAATCATACAACAAAAGACGGCCTATGCCACACCTTGTCAACATCTCAGCTGCAACACTTCCCACACCCCCTATTCCCTGTGACAGCCAAATAGCATCAGAAAACATCATGATCTTCTAACTAATTAAGAAAGGAAAAAAGAAAAAGAAAACAGAAACGATGAAGACACAATTGACATCATATATTCATATCCTGGAACTCACAGTTCTTCACTTTTGCAAATTTGAGAGTGAAGAATTTAAACCATTCTAAAGCAGCACTCCTATAACCAAAGACAATATCTACATGAAGAAAGAATCTTGCTAAAACTAATTCTGTCAAGAAAAATGAAAAAAAAAAAAAAAACTTGCATATTTGTTGAATCTTTAGATTGTCATGATCTCATGCAAAGGGTCTGCAGTGCTCTAGTCTATATGTCTAGGTACATCATCGACAGGACATCAACAGTAAAAGAATGGAGTTACTGGATGTGCATTTTTATTTTCTGGAGTCTGTTTTACATGGTCAACAATCAACATAACAGCACTGAGAGGCAGAAAGAACCTACCATGGTGCAGTATCCAAGTATCTAATGAAAATAGGGGGAAAGCCCTAATTGATGCAACTTTAAAGTAATTAAGTAGAAGAAATTTGGAGTTGTATGCTTCAGCCTCTTCCGGATAAGCACAGTTTTGAGATCAGGGGATGCAGACAAATAAAAAGAGTCAAATTGGCAATGCTATCTTTGTGAACCACAAGAAACATGCAGACAGGATAAGCTTGTAGATTCATCAAACCAATGTGTGGTTGCAGTTCTAGAAAGCACCCATTGCAAAATGAAGCTTTTGATTATTATAGAAACCTCAGTTTATGTGTGTCATATATTATTTACAATTATAAATCACTATAGGCTTATGTGCTCTTTTGTTTCGGTGCTTAGGTTGAAAAGATTCAAGAAACTCAACTAGATTTGCATCAAGTAACATGATGAAGGGAGAATGAAATATGATAAATGTAATGCAAGTGCTGTAGACACTGAAAGTGGCAGTTCTTCATATGGGGGAAGATATAAGTGCTAGTTCCTTGTAAGCACTACAGCAGTGGCATTTTTACTGCCAAAAAGCATTCAGATAAACTGTTGATTGCATACTTGAGATCAGCCAGCAAGTGTGTATTTATATAATCAAATAAAGCACTGGAAGGAAGGAGAGATCAAATACTCACAACTATGGCAACCGAGAATTCTCGTATCCTTTCATAGTTTTCCACAATACCCATTCTCTGAAGTGCCATAAGCCTACTGTAAGGGTTGCTATCTATCACCTCGGCACTCATGTCCTGTTCGCCGTGATGTACAAACACTATGTCAGGTACTCGTTGAAATACTATGAAACACCATCATGCAAACCAGGATATTGAGACAAGTGGTGCAGCAGAAAGACCTTGACTTTGGAACGCCGAGCATGTGAAGATTGCGCAAGACTGATAAGACTCTCAGCACGCCGTTGCAGCTACAAAAGATGAAGAAATTGGTAGGCGAACAATGCTAAACCTCACCTTTTTCAAACAACATAGCTAGTTTTTCTGCCTAACTCAGATAATTAGCCAATAATCTGCTTAATTTCTTGATATAAAAACTGAATCCTTTTCATTCTCACTGACTGATAGTTTTGGAAATGGAGTAGATAAAATTTAAAAAAAAAAGTATAAAAGGAAAAATAGATCAGGACTTGCGAAGATTTTGCCTTTCTAGCTCCCGCTGGTGAGTAACTGCGGCAGACCCATTTGGTACAAATGGATCATCAATAACAAATTGATCAGACTGGCCCAAAATAAAAAATTCTCCCAGTTAATTTCGTAAGGGATCAAAATCCTCCATTAAGAAGATCTGACGTTCAGGAAAATTGTTATAGGACAAGGAAACAATAACGAATTTCAGAAAAAATAATTGTCTGATCCAGATTATTAGAAAACTGGAGGAAAGAGGCACGCGAATAAAAACAAACATAAGAAAGAAAGAAAGAACCTTGATGATAGAATCCTGGTGAGAAGGATCTGGTAAAGCTCGTTTAAGAGATTCGAAGTCATCGAGCATTTCCTTTAGTTCGACATCCATTACAACTATTGCAGGCTTACAGCTCTCTGTCACCCTCTCTCTCCTCTTCGCTTGTGTGAGAATTTAAAACAAGTATGCGATCCCTCCTTATTCGTTCCCTCCCTCGCACGCGTTAACGAGGAAGAACCGACGGACAGAAGAAAAACGACGCAAATCGCAAAAGCATCCAAACTCTAAAAAGAGCAACAGAAAGCACAAGAGCACCCTGCCCCCACTATATGGGCCAGTATGGCCTTTCAGCCGTCAGATCACAAACGGACCACCGCATTGGACTTTTTTGATAACTCATAGACCAATGTTGATCAGTACCGTTGATTGGTGGACTCTTGTTTGACTATATGGGCCAGTATGGCCTTTCAGCCGTCTCATCACAAACGGATCACCGTATTGGACTTTTTGATAACTCATAGACCAACGTTGATCAATACCGTTGTTTGATGGACTCTTGTGTTGATTGGTCAAAACTCTTTCGCTCTCAATACCAGTAGAATGATACCACAACCCGATACAAGTTGGTTATAAATATAATAAAGTGAATTCATGGTCCCTACAAAATTTGAACTAAAATTATAAATGATCATTTTAGAAGGCTCCTTCTCACGCCAATTTTTCCCGAACCCTATTTCTTCTCCTCCCTGTCTCATTTTCTTATTTAACTTGTCTCTCCCCCCCCCAGTTAAAACATGACCAAGATTCCATTTAACATCTATATCTATATCTATACTATTTATAAAAGTGCTAATGAGGAGTTATTAGATTCTAGAATTTTTCTTTATTGAAATACTTCTTCTCTTGAATTTGATTTATCTCCATTTAAATCATTAAATAAATCGCATTTTCTCTCATTGAATCCAACATTTATACTTTTGTTTATCATCATTACACTAATAAATCCATACACAATAATTATTACTAGAATGAAATTTTATATTTTTAAATTATATAGAAATTAAATTATATTTTTCATCTAAAAGGTGGGTAAGTAGTTCAACCATTTGGGTCAAATGGATAATTTTATGATGTCATAAATGAATAATACAAATTTAGAAATATAAAAAATACTTTTGTTTATTATTATTAAATTCTACTTATAAATTCCTACACAATAATTATTAATAGGGTAAATTACAAAGACCCCCCTGTACTATGACCGTGAGACAAAGACCCCTTCCATTCAAAAAAGCCGTTGCAATATTTTCTAATCCCCATACTACCCTTGTAATAACTATTTAAACGAGAAAAACATTGTTCATCTTCCCCGACCTTACGATACACTAGTAGCGTCGGATCTCTCTCTCTCTCTCTCTCTCCCTGATCTCTCTTCTTCTTCTTCCCCTTCCCCTTAACAGCGTCGAGGTTGAACCTATTTAATTTAATCCTGCCCCGCTTCACTTACCTTAAATGATCGATTCAGATTGATTAAGAGAGATAGAGAGAGGTTTCGCTATTTGAATTAATTTTGAAGTGATCTTCAAATACCTCAAGCCCTAGCTCATGATTCCAAAGTCAAAACAATGTTTTTTGAAAAACAATGAAGCCTCATCCAAAACAATTTTATCCACCGCTACCTCTTTGGCTACATCAGCGATGCTCATCCATTCGATAGTCTACGACTTCTTACCCCATGAAACTCAAGACTACATCTTCTCTAGCATCTGAATCTTCCTCAGTCGTTTCTCCTTCGAGCTAGCCATGGTCATCGAAAATTTGACGGTCTCACAAGCAACGAAATCTATAACACTACTGAGATCTACTTGGGCACCAAGGTCAACCCCTCCACCCAAAGAGTGAAGGTCAGGAAACCTGAGAAGGAGAAGAACTTTACTGTGACCATGGAGAGAAACGAAGAGATAGTAGATGTGTTCGACCGTGTAAGATTCAAGTGGAAATTCATATGTGCGGCAGTGGAGTCCTAGATTTTTAACCATCGGCGCCATTTCAATTTGACAATCCAATGTTCCAGCTAAGCTTCCACAAGAAGCATAAAAACAAGGTTTTGAGTTCTTACTTTCTATACATATTGGAGAAATCAAAGACCATCAAGGACAAGAAGAAGACATTGAAGCTGTTAATCGTGGATTACAACGTCTATTACGATAACCCATCAAACGCATGGGTATCGATTAACCTAGATCACCCAACGGCCTTCAAGACGCTGGCCATGGAGCCGGATCTGAAGATAACTGTAATGGAGAGAGAGAGAGAGATGGAAATGTGAAGGAATCTGAGGTTGAGAGATTACCGGCGGTCCGCCGCTGCTATTAGTGTATCATGAGGTCGGGGAAGATGAACAGTATTTTTCTCGTCTATATAGTTATTATAAGGGTAATATGGGAATTAAAAAATATTGCAATGGCCTTTTTGGACGGAAGGCTAATGCTAGGAGGTATTTGTCGCAAAACAAAGTACAGGGGTCTTTGTAACAGACCCCATAGTACCGGGGAGTCTTTGTAATTTATCCTTATTAATAGAATAAGTTTTTATATTTTTAAAATAAAGGAAAAATTCCCAATAAATACGTCCTCCAGTACCAATTTAGTACCTTTAAAATGTGACAAACTAGTAATCAAATTAATTCACCGTTAAGTGTGATAAAAAAAGAAACAAATGCACCTTAAGTTTCACCTAATTTTTTACTGTTCGCCGCCGCTGCTCATGGCCTCCTTCAACACCACAACTGTTCCCCGCCACAGGAGAAAACCAGAGAAAGAAAACTAGTGTGGTTCCAGTATATGAACACTGTTCACCGTCATAGTTCCTGTACTGTTCATCTTCACAAGGAAGCAGAGAGAGTCACTCGATGCAAAACGGGTTCAAATCTGTCGCCGCTCTACTTCTCTGTGAAGAAGATGAACACCCTCACCAAGTTGAACTGTTCATCAGATTTGAACTGTTCATCTTCTTCAGAGAAGCAGAGCGGCGGCAGATCTGATCACCGTCACCAAGTTGGACCATCGAATCGACTCTCTTGAGCTTGGAGCGTTTGGAGTCGTTGGTGTTGAACACTGTTCACCGCCACTGTTTGTAGACCTTGGCTTTCCACTCTCCAACGGTCTCCATTCTCTCTTGCCTTCTCAAGTTCGTTCTCCCTACCAGCTTAGCCTTGGTAACGTCCATGCCAGGGCGGTAAACACTCGTCTGCGAACAGATACCATACGCAATAGGAGGAAAGAAGTTGTCTCTGATTCGGTGGTCGCCAATCCTTGGGAGGAATTGCAGGTGCAAAGGAACTCGAAGGTGGAGGGTAAAAGCATTTGGACTCCCGCTTCATACCTGGTGTTTGGAAATGCTCAGGGAGTTGGGAAATGCCACTACGGGTTTCGTTGGAGTAGCAGAGGAGAACCTCTACTGGAGGGACCTCGAGGCCGTGAAGCTACTAATTTGGGCGGGAGCACCGCATGAGATACCTAAGGCTCTAACAGAGGAAGTTCTCGGGGAAATCTTCGTCGTTAGCTTCGTGGTAGAAGGTCTGGAGTCGTTGGTCTTGAGACATTCTTTAGGGCTCCGTTGGATTGAAGTGGAAGAAGAGTCGAAAGGTTCAGGGCAGCTAAAGGCGGGTGGCGATGATTCTGGTCTTGGGGCTCAAGAGGGGAGAGAAAGACCTTAGGTGGCTGAAAGAGTAAGGGGAAGATCCCGTCGGCGTCGGAGGAGGAGACGTCACCTGATGATGCACAATCTGGCCGGTCTTAGCTGTCAATGATCTTGCCTCTGAACTGAGTAACAGGGACCTGAAACGAAAGGGGAAGAGAAGCTCCGGGGAGAACCCGGCGTAAGGGCTCCGAAGCTCAAGTTAGAATTCTTCAAAGGCAAGATAAACC